GGAATCCAGTGATAAGAAGTATCCAGTGATACTTAATTATTTCTGTGAAATTATTTCTCCTCTTAATTATTTCTGTGAAAGCCAAAGATAATTTCTGTTTTGAAGTTTGTGTAGCTTTCCTGCACTCAGCAGGAATTATCCTCATGTTTACATTATACTTTCAGTCTCTTCATGGTTGCCAAATCCACTTTTAGTGGAAATGAATATTTTATTTAGATTTCTGCTGTGCTTTGCGGTGCTGAAACTTCTTTGTTGGAAAAATGTCTTCAGAGTCAGAAAAGGATAAAGAGAGACTGATTCAAGCTGCCAAAATGTTCTTTCATATACAAGATCTTGTTTCCTTCATAAATACATATACTGAATTGTTTAATGCTAATGTGAGTACTCAGATCTTCCCCATGGCTATGAAAGAAGATAGTGATATTAAGGATTTCTCTGAACTAATGCTCAAAAATTTTAAGGATTTCTCCCTAATTCTTTCAGTCTTAGAGTTGTGCCCCAGGATGTTGGGACAGCTAGGGAAATGAAAGGGACAATGACCAAGAAAAGTCTTGAGGTAGAGCCTTTCTGGGAAATGACTAGGAGAACAACTGGTGTTCTTCTAACAGAAGTCCTTGACTCATGATGGGAATGTCAATTGGGGCAGCTACTTGATATTAGAGATGGGTGGTACCCAGTTCAACCAAGATGGGTGGTCTTCAGGTGCTAGTGGCTCTTGTGAGACTGGCCATCACTCAGTGCCTCTCATAGATCTTTTTCCTACCTCTGGGCATCACCAACCTGCCCAGCCTCTGATGGCTTCCTATCTGCTGCTGCTTCCTAGCTTGTGGAAATATTGGAGGAAAACTATACTCTTCTTAATCCGATTGTTCTCATGTTTTGTTTATCTCAAATACTTTGGTTTTGAGTTCATCTCATTTTCTCTAAAGCCCTTCAGTTTTTGAGTAACACAGTGGAGAAGACTAACTTGTTTTGTCAGTGTTGTGCCTAGTCATACTCCATCTGAGGCCGTGAGCACAGTGTGGTCTAACTGAATGAGTGTTAAGTGGAGAGAAAGGGTGAACTGCCAAGCAACAACAAAAACCAAAACGCACAGCAATTTACTATAAAAATGAATAAAAGAAAGAGAAAAGTAGCTAAGGAAAGCGAGAAGGAAAAGAAAGAAGCTCTGTAATACTTGCAATACCTTTCCCCACTTTGTAGTTGCTAATCTTTGCTGCATCTTGGTGGCTCTGAAACCACCTTGCTCAATGTTGAATTTTACCAAACCAACTACTAATTTATTCATTGTAAATCAGTTTGATTCAGGTCATTAGACAGACAGTCCAAGAATTCTGATTCCCCAAGCAAATTAGATTGTACTGAAATTTTCTTTCACTTTTTAAAGAAGGTATAAGAGTACCTAGAGTACTTCAGGACAAAACCCTAGAAAGAAAACACTGTATTATAAATTAAAAATAAAATGGATCCAGAGTATTTTGTGCATGTAAAAGAAATAATGAATTACTTTAGTAAAATCACTATAGGAGAAAAATTAATATGCATCTTACTGTTTTTTCTCTTTCAACAATCCAAGTGAATTTATATGTAACTAGTGTCCATTCTATCTTCAGAAGATATCCCAATCTAACAAAGGAGGAGAAATTACAATGACATTTCTAAAACTGGTCTCCTATAATTTCATGAACTTTTAAACTTAGACTCTAAATCAATGGTCCAGTTTATGGATTTCATACTCAAAAACTTTGGACTGCAGGGAGAGATGGAGGGAGTGTGAACTATGTACAATTGTCCTTAATCAAACTTAAAAGTCTGTGTAATTTCAAAAGAATAATTTCTGCCTCCAGAGATTTGGCCTGTAAAGTAGCAGCAAGAGGAAGCACAAAGTTGTCACTAAAAAAATTTAGTTATTCTCTTAAGGATCATAATCATATAAGAAAAATGTTCCCAGTTGTATAGTAGAAACATCTGTAGGGTATATTAAAACATAGACTGCTGGACTACTGATATCATAAATTTGGGATCAGGACCTAGAATTCACATTTCTACCAAGTTCTTAAGGAATGCAGATGCTGTTTGTGCTGGGAGCATACTTTGAGTCACTAGGAGAATTGTCTCATAAAATTAAGACTCCTAATGGAGACAAAATGCTTTAGGCTGACATTTTTAGCTTAACTGTGTGGCTTTAACTTTCCTCTCTGCCAGAACTACCTACTTCCTGACCCTTACCTTCATGGATCATTGCTGTATCTTGTCTGTCTTTTCTACTCACCTCCCTTTTCCACCCATGGGAAGCCTCTCATCTAAATAAACCCTCTTTCTCTGATGGAAAGCTGCTTTACCTAGCCATAGTACAGAGGAAACTCAGTTTTTCTCATTTATGATTTGTACTTGTTGTTGGCACCAAGTTCTGGCATATACAGTTTATTTTTCTTTTCTTTTCTTTCTTTTTTTCTCCTTCCTGTCACCTCTTGCTCCTCTCAGATGTCTCAATGCTGTCTCCAACCAAAGCCTTCCTGGCTCTTCTTCATCCCTGCATTAGAAGGAATTTTGTTGCATGATGAAAAACTCAATTTTCCTTTTTGGTATTTTCTTTGTAACTTGTGTTCTAAATTTCTTCTAACAGATTATAAACTTATGAGTGTATTCAACTTTTAATTCCCTCGATATTTTATATATCACATACCTCAATAAATACATTCATATGGCAGTGGGAAGAAATATATTCAAGTTGTATTTCCTAACACGGTGTTTCATTACTGCCTCAATCAGGGCTCCCTGAAAACCTACCCCCAGACTCTCCACTAGGCAGCCATCATCCTGTCAAAGACCCTGTGCAATGATTTTAGAAAAGTGTCCGTGGAAATTCTTGGTCCTGTTAGTCTGGGAATCTTAACTTAAAAAATATTATGTTGAATATATGTTGGTAGTAGAATGGTATGCTGAAGGCTGAACTCCCTGACAGGCAATTTTGTGTAGCTAATTGCCCATTCAGTTTCTCTGATCATAGCATAGGCCCTTCAGATGGATGAACTGATTTGCACTCCTTATTTTATTCTTCTCAAAGGGGCTAAGAAGTACATGTTGTCGCAAGTCAAAGTCAAGACTGTCCCTCACCTTCATTCCATTTACCCCAATAGTCGGATCTTTGGAGATCAGGTAAAATAATTTCCCCTGTTCTCACCTAAACTCTATACTAATTGAGGGAAGAGTTGAAGAACATTTCCAGTTGTGAAAGTTGGTAACTTACAACTCTTCATCTCATAGTTTGCACATAATGAAATTCATATATCTTTGATGTTTGTTTGTTAATCAGATTTGTTTTTTCTTCTTTATTCATTCTCTCTCTCTTTCTCTCTCTCTCTCTCTTAATTGTGGTGCTAGGAACTGAACCCAAGGCCTTGTGGATGCTAGGCAAGTGCTCTACCACTGCATTCTCAGCCCCATATTTTTTCCCTTACCTCCACATGCTCCCCTGACAAATGCACTTACCTTTTCAATGGAGGCTTAAAATCAAATTTTCCATCTAGTACTCTTCTATAAGGTTCCATGAATTTTAAAATTTTGTAATGTCTTAGGAACATGCATGTAACACTCCATTAATGGCAGTGACTAAGATTTTGCTCACATCTTCCATTAACTTTCCCTTTTATTTCTCAACTTCACATGTTTCCTCCTGTCTGAGACCACACTAATTTGATCTTGAATGCTGATAACAGTCTCAGAAGAAAAACAGAACAAAACATACTTTGCCATAGCTCAAAGCTTTTCTAGTTGATGAAGAATTTGTCCTTTGTTTTCTAACTCAAGTCTTCTTTGATTTGTTTCTATTTAGGATCTCTAAATAAATAAGTGGAAAGTCTGTGTTCATTAGAATTCCTTCAAATTGCTTGAGATAGAAAGTCAAATTCAAATTGTGTTAGCAAAGATTGTTTATTGATTTATGCAATGATAAAGCCTAACATACTCAGCCTCAGGCACATCTGGACTTAGAAGTTCACACATTCTCATGGGTAACAGGCCTAAGTTTCTTTTCATTTCTCACCCTTCCTTCATCGTGTTACTTCTTTTCTCGGAAGGTAGAGTCCTCTCCTTTGTTCTTGTGGCAAGATAGCTGCTAGCAACTATAAATTCATATTCTGCTTTTGTTAATCTCTGCTCAAAAAAAGAGGTACTCACCCCACTCCTAAAACTAATTTCAAAAAAGTACCCTGATTGTATCTCATAAGCTATATATGAGTCATTTTCTATTCCACCTCTATGCCCATGGAGAAGAAATACATTGAACTGGGTTAGGCCTGAGTTGCAGGTCAACTCATACACAGTGTGTATGACAACGTAAGCCAGTTCTGCATCAAGTGATAGTAGGGCAGAGTGATTCCTCAAGGATATTGAGGGTGCCCTGATTGGAACCACGCAAAGGGGCACAGGAAAAGCAAAACAGGACTAGAAAAGCCAAGGACAGGCACTGGTTTCAGTAGAATTATGATGGGATCATCCTTCCTGGCAAATAAACTCCCATTTTTAGTCAAAATGTAATAGGGGTTCATTTGAAACTGTTCCTTAGTCCCCTTCCCTTTCTTTCTGTTCCTTTCTCAGGCTCTGGTTAGCTAGCTGTGGAAGAGCAAGGTCCATTGTGAGGTTCCTGACAGAAAAGAGGAAAGAAGACACATCTCAAAGACCCTATCCAGGGCACAGACTTCCTGCCCACTGTATCTTCCCTTTTTGTCTCTCTTAAAAGCTCCCTGTGCTCTGAAACCCTCTGAGACAGAGACTTTAGATGGAGAGTCTCTTCTGTCTTCTTCAGGACTGGCTTTGAATAAACCTGTCTTTTGAGTTATTGGCTAAGAGGTGAGTAGAAAACTTTAAATTCTAGTAGCAACCAGATTTTTGCAGAGCAGAGTAGTGAGTAGTATGAACCTCAGTGATTAAAAGACCAATAAAAAGTTTCATTTAAGTATTTTTTTTTTAAGTATCCACAGGATTCCTTTATACTGTACTTTTGGAAGAGATGATAACGCTGGCCAAAAAGGAGAGAGAAGCAATAATTGTAGGAACAGGGATGCACTTCTTGCTGGAAGCTGCAAAAAAAAAAGTAAAACAAGTTAGAAATGTTCTGATAGTGAGATTAAGGAAAACAAGCTCATGTCTCTTCTTCCCTTCCCCCTGTTTTTTGTTTTTGGTGGTAATAGAGTTTGAAATTAGGGCCTTGTACTTGCTAGTCAGGCACTCTACCAGTTGAGCCATGTTTTCACCCTGATCTGTCCTTTGATTCACTAGTTTAACATGAAAATTTCCTATAAAAACATTCAAAATTAGCTATTTTAAAAAATCATTCTCTTAAATTTTTCTAAATCTCAGAATTCAATTTGCTTATTTTAATGATGAAACAAGTAACATGAGGTTGAGAGATTTACTTCAGGTTACCCTACCACCACCACAACCACCACCATCATCCCCATCACTGTTACCCACTCCTTAATTACCATCACCATCACCATTTTGAAACATGAAGTACTTATTCTGTGCTAGTATGTTTTGAGTACTTAACATACATTGGCTTATTTAATCCTCAAAACAAAACTACAAGGTATTTATTTTTATTATCTTCACTTTTTAGTTGATAAAACTGTGACAGAGATGTAAAAAGTCTTGCTAAATATTACATATCTAGCAAGTAGTGGAGTCAGTATTTGAATTCAGGCAATCTGACTGAACTCTATGTTCTTAAGCATTGTATTCTGTATTGAAATATTATGTGTCCAGTCATAGAATTGTTTTATTACAAAATTGTCAAGAAGTATCCACACAGTGCTGTTTGACACATGTGTGTACATGAGTGCATGCATGTGTATGTTTGTGTATGTGTGTGTCCTGTGTATGAAATGGAGTACAGAACCTTTAAAAAATTATCTTAATAAAGTGTGCATCTCGTTTTCAACCAATCTTCTCTGGTTATTCAGGGTAGAAAAGATGTTTGGGACAGGAAAAGATTCAACTCTGATGCCTTAGTGTCTGCCCATGTTTTTTGATAGGGTGACAACAAAGCAGTTCCTTGGGGAAGATGTCTTTACAAAATTACTTCGGTCTTCCCTCTCCAATATTTAACTTTTTCCTAGTCTTTTAATGATCCATTCCTTTCACAGGGTATTCTCAGTTTTAAAGGAAGGCCTCTATAAAGCCCCTCCTCTCCTCAACTCAAACCAATTGACTTGGAGAAAAGTAATCTGTCTTTCTGAAAAGAAAATTCCATGGTGGTCTTGGGAGGTTGAGGACTGGATCCTTTTGGAGGAGGAAGAAGAGGGGACTGAGATTGGAAGATTTGAGCTCTGGAGAGGAAGACCATGCCCAGGGAGGGAATTCCACTGCCCATTATCTCATTCTCTTCTTTCTTCCGTAAATGCCTTTCATGCCTCCGAACCCACTAAGATACAGACTTGAGGCAAAAGGAAGTCTGTCTTCTTCAGGGATGGCTATAAATAAACCTGTTTCCTTCCACTAACTTTTGTCTCCTGAGTCATTGGTTAAGTGTCAAACAGCAAATATCTTAAATTCTGGTAACAACCAGATTTTCACACAACACGTAATATCTCTTGAGTTTCCTGGAAATTCTGTTTGGAATTCTTTCTCTATATATCAGTAGTAATTTTCAAAACCCCAATTTTTGCAAATAATAATTAGTAGTCAAAGTAAATTAATAGTGTATTCATTTTTCTTAAATTTTATCAAAGTTCATATTATCCTGAATCCCCAGTGACACAGGAACCACGAATACCCACTCCAGCAGGGCAGTCATTAGAACGGTTTCAAACATTTTTTGGTTGTTTTCTCTTCACTGAGGCTAGAGATCACAAGGACCTCCATCTCCACCTTTTCACATTATAAATGTGATAAAGTATTGATATACTTAATATTGATTAAAATCAATACCGTTATTGACTGACAGGAGAGCATCATAGCAGAAAGTATTTAGTTTTGAGAGCTTTGGTGTTGAAGCCCTCTTTAACTTTGACCTTGACCAGCACTTTCATTGATCCTCAATTTTTCTATCTATAAAGTTAGAACACTTCAAGGATTTTGGAAATACGGTTATCACTTGCCAGTGCTACTGTTACTACTCCTCCACTACCACTTCTTCTGACTAACACTTGTGTAGAGCTTACGATGTATCAGTACAGTAATATTACACACCAAGCAATGTAATTCTCAAAATGCTCTCGTGAGACTACTGCTTTTTCTTTGTTTTGCAGATGGGGAAAGTGAGGCAAAGAGAGCTTGAATGTGCCTATGAGAATACACAGTAAGTGGCAGAGACAATGTTTACCCTAGAAAGTCTGATTCAAGGGATCATATGTTGAACCTTCTCAGTCCTCATTTTTCCTGAGATCTCCTGCTTCCTTGAGTCTTACTCTTCACTTCATTTCTAGGACACTAACTCTATTGATTTTCTCCTTTCTCACTAATTATGACTTCTTAGTCTTCTTTGCTTATTTCTCTCACCCTGACCTTTTAAGTTGGAAAGTGCTGAGTTTCGGTCCTTGGAAATCTCTCCTTTTACAAACTTCAGTGGAGAGGTCATCCGGTCTCAGAGTCGAGACTCCAAATTTGCATCTTCAACCTGGATCACTCCTCTGAATTCCAGTCCCAGGTCCAACAGTCAACTCAATATCTCTACATGGATGCTGTTTCACAGATGTAACATGTTTAATACCAAACCTCTGCTGTTTATGCCCAAATCTATTCCAACACAGACTTCTTCATCTCAGTTAATGCTAACTTCATCCTTTCAGTTGCTCAAAGCCAAAAACTTAGTCACCATTTGCTCCTCTTTTCCTCTCTTCACAGCTGGCGTGTCAGGAAATCCTCTTGGCTCTAAACTCAGTGTATCTCAACTGTGATTAAATATCACCACCTCTACCACCATTATCACCATCTTGCATCTGAATTATTAGAGCAGCCTCCTGACTGGTTTCTCTCCTTTACCCTTGCCTCACTACAGTGTGTTCTCAACTGAGCTGTTAGGTCAATTCCATTAAAATGTCAGTTACATATTCTATGGTCTGCTCAAAACATTTCAGTGGTTTCCCATCTGACTAAGAGGAAACGCAAAGACCTTACAAGTGCCTTCAAGGTCCTCAGTTGTCCCTATGTCTGTACTTTCTATTGCTTGATCCCTCCTTCATTTCCATATATGGGCTCCCTTGCTGTTGCTCCTGACTTAGGGCCTTTTTATGTGTTATTTCCTCTTCCTGGAATGGTCTTTCTTCAGATAGTCACATAGCTCGCTCTCTCACCTCCTTTCCATCTTTGCTCAAGTGTGATCTTCTCTGCAAGACTTTCCCTTACCACCCAATTTAGTATTGTGACTCCCTCCCATGGCTTTTCCTGCTCCCCACCCCCTTCTTAAATACCTATCACCTACTAACATATTGTACAATTTATTTATCTACTTTGCTTGCTGTCTACCTTATTGCATTAGAGTGTAAGTCATTGAGGTCAGCGATTTTCACTTATTTTGTTCCTTACCCCTACAGTGGTAACCCAGCACATAAGAAGTGCTCAATAAATTTTTATTGGATTCATGCATTATACCTGATCTTATGATGATGCTCAAATAAGACACAAAAGTAGACATTTCCATCTTATAATCATATTCATCCTTCAAGAATCAACTGTTAAACCTCCTTCATAATAATTAGGATGTTAAAATTATCTTATTTTTTATTCCATTCTTTCAGGTAAAAGAAACTTATCCTTCCTAACTCTTTTGATACTTTTTTTCTCTACTTTCTATATACCTTCATGTTATAATTATTTTTTGCATTGATAATATATTTAGAAGGGTAAATGAAAAACAGCTGTGAATTACCTTAATTATAAATTTAAGAAAATCTTTTATTTGAGGATACCTCATATTAGTTTTACTTTTGTATTTATCTTTTTACTAGACTATTCAAAGCTTTTCTCTTTTTACTCGTGTTTTTTTTCAAATACAGTATAACACTACTTTTAAAATTGGCAGTTATGACCCATTAATGAGTTATGATATCAGTTTAGAAGGCCACTACCATTAATATTTCATAACACAACAGATTATAATAGAAACTACTAGCATATTACACATAAAGAGGGTATCTATTATTAAATTACATATGAATGTGTATATTTGTATATTTACGTGTGTGTGAACTGAGTTACAATATAAATTGTCGTAGTCAACAGGTTTGAAACTAATGGTAGTTCCTCAGTAACATTTATAGAAATACAAATAAACCTCATGAAATTTCTCATCTGTAGAGAAAATTGTCTTGGTGGAATACACCTATAATCTCAGCTACCGAGCAAGTAGAGATTAGGAGGATTGTGATTGAGGCAAGCCTGAGTGAAAAGTTGGTGAGATCCCATCTCAACAAACAAGACAGGTGTGGTGGCTCATGCCTCTAACCCCAGCTACCCAGGAGAGAAAGCATAGGTAGGAGGACCATAGTCCAAGGCTGGCCCTAGGAAAAAGTATGAGGCCCTATCCTAAAAATAAATAAACCCAGGAGGTCTGAGAATGTGACTCAAGTCGTGGGGGAAGGTTTTACTTGCAAGCATGAGGCCTTGAGTTCAAACCCCAGTACCAATGCCCCCTCAAAAAGAAAAAGAAAATTTCCTAGAATTCTTTTTCTTTTAATGGTACTGGGGCTTTAACTCAGGGCCTCGCACTTGCTAGGCAGGTACTCTACCACTTGAGGAATTCTTGTTAGAAAAAGCAAGAGAAAGTGTCCTGTACCTGTCACTTCTAAATTGTAACAATAGTTTTATGCAAACTAGTTTTTCTGAACCCCAGTGTTCATATATGTTTAATGGGTTCAACAACCCAACTTATAGTCTGGCTATTAAACAGATAATGTGAGTGAAAGCATTTTATAAACAAAATCATTAATTTGGTCATTTCTGCATTAGAGTTTGGGAGAAATATATTATTTTGTGAAGTCTGAATTCAAATAGTATCAGACTGTTCAGAAATATTTAAACTTGAAAAAAGCAGAAAGGTAAAACTGACGTAATATATTTAGGTAATCCAGTGTTTGAGGCA